ACCTGCACTAACATGCACATATCCGCACACATATATACATGTAATTACCACTTACAAGGCAGAGGCACGCAAGACCAATCTGGTCTACAAAGTGAATCCCAGGACAGTCAAAACTTCAAAGAAATTCTGTCCCAAAAAAATCAAGATAGATAGATAGATAGATAGATAGATAGATAGATAGATAGATAGATGATCTTTATTTTTTAAAAATCCTAAAAAAACACGAATAATATTTAGCAACTACATTAAGTTTTAATTTTTACAACTGTGATTCAATTTAATATGAAGAAATCTGATAAAGCAAAAAGATCTTACAGCAGTTACCACAGGTGTAAGAAACAAGTATAATAAAACCTAATATTTAACACAGGGGACTGTGCCCTAATTTTAAAACATATGGCTGCCTCTGGCTGCACATTAAAGCTCTCATTCTAGTTAAAACAACAGACAAACTTCCATTCAAGTTAGAAACAAAACACAGATGCCCAAGAGCATAAACATCAATAAAAATATCGACAAGAAGACAAAAATATAAATTCTGCAAAAGATGTCTTCTTGGAAACCCCAAGAGAATCAGCTAGTAAGATGAAGAGAAGTTCATAAAGTGGCCAGACTAATGACATCCGCACATTAATACCTGTATCAAAACAGCCAATTAAATAATGAAACTTGACCCCAATAACCAAGAAAACCCATAATAAATCAAAAAGCAACAAAAGTGCACAATATAAAAACAGTCACTCGTTAAGAATCTGTTTTTTGGGCTTTGGGGAGGGGGCAACTTGTATAGAGTACACATGTGTAGAAGCCAGGGGGCAACACTGGGTGTCACTCCTTAGAACCGGTCTACCTCACTTTTCTGAGACGGTATTGCACTGGTCTCCATCAGACAAGGATGGCTAGCACTAAGCTCTAGGGATCTGATTATCTCTACCTCCCTAGCCCAGCCTGGGTGCCAGGGATCAAGCTCACATTCCCATGCTTGTGCAGAAAGCACATTAACTGACCAACCTATCAATCCAGATGGAGAAAGTTCTCATGTTTATCTAAAATAATGGCCCTTATCCCCATCTGCCTTAAAAATCATATGAGGAATATAAAAGTAAAAGCATGTCCTGGTTATGCCCTAGAGATTCTAACCTAGCTGGTCAGCAATGAGGTTCAGACATTAGTATCTTTAAAACTGCACAGGTAATTCTAATCTGTGGCCAGGGCTGATTACCACATGTGAGTTCACCATTCCCCTCATGAACAGAAGTTGAGTAAACAGTTAGGATGACTTTCTGGAACAGACACAGGCAGAGATCAATAACTAATGCAAAACACGTAACAGAGGAAAAGATGGACTACTAGTATCTAAATAGATTGCACTGTGACTACTATCACTTGAAAAAACAACACTGGATAACTCTTTGGTGAGTCTTTGTTTATTGGGAGGCAGGAATTCTTAAGAGTATGGTGCTAGGGTTGGGGGTGCCCAAGGCCTTATGCTTACTAAACAAGTGCTATGCCACCAAAAATGAGGTCAAGATTCAAGAAATAAGAAGGAAACATGAGAAAACTTTTCTCTTACTTTTTTAAGGAGGAATGGCAACAACAGATTTGCTTATATTGTCTATGTTGTTCTCCAACTCTGGAACTCAAGCCATCCCCTTACCTCTAACTCCAAATTGTTAAGACTACAAGTGTCACCACATATTTATAATTTGGAGTAGGGAAAGTACTTTTGAAAATGATATACAATCTAAAAGCAATAAAAGGAAAAAAATGGATGCTTTCATACAAACTGACAAAACACACACCTGACAAAATATGTGACAGTCACACTGTAAACCTGTGGAAATAACTTAATAAATTAAAGAGAGGGAAACATGACTACTCAAAGTCTGAAACTTTTAATACATAAATAATAATAAGGTCTAGCTCAGTGGTAGGACACCTGCCTAACACGTGAATACCTGGGATGGATTCCTTAACACTAAGCAGGCAGACACACACATGCACTTGTAAGTGCAAGCGCGTGCGCACCCATACACAGGTAAAACAGTCTGAAAAAAACGATTATTTGAAAATTTATTAAAACATCCTAGTAAAAACAATTTGACTAGAATTACAAGTGTAACAATACTAATATCTACCAACATCTAATGTTGGTGATGATTTAGATAGGTTCATTCAACATGGGTATGGGGGAAATCTGCACAATAGTTTTCAAACTATTTGGTAATATCCATCTTCTTTTTGAAGTTTTGCTTTTGTTCTAAAGTTCTCACCATGTAGTCTGACTAGTCTAGAAATTGATGTTTATCTCAGGCTGGTCTAAAACTTGGCAATAATTCTCCTTGCCTTGTGAATGCTAGAATTACTGGAGTTCAACATAATACTCAGGCTCTATCTGTTTATTTTAAATGTTAGTATTCTTTCATTAAAAATTCACCCACCAGGACTGGAGAGACAGCTGAACAATCTAAGAGCATTGGCTGCTCTTCCAGAGAACTTAAACTGAGTTTCCATCACCCATAGCAGGTACCACACATCAGCCTATAATTCAAGCTCCAGGGCATTTGACGCCCTCTTGCCTCTGCAGACACTCAGACACATAGCATACATACTCAGAGATAAACTTAAAAAAAAATTAACTAAACTTCCAAAAATTTACCCAGCACTTATCCACTTACACAAAGATATAAATGTATGAAACAAAACTATTGCAACAGTGAAACACTGAAACAATCGAAGTATCTAGTCCATAGAGCACATATACTATATCAAACTAGATAATACTAGAGTCCTGTGAAGAATGACAAACAAGGAACCATATCCAACTTAGATTGTTAACTTATAGAGTGGTTGTTTAGATATTTGGGATGTGTAATGCCACCAAGCTCATGTGAGCTTGCATTTTAAATATTTCTGTAAATTGGAGCTAGCGGGGTGCCTGAAACTACAAGTACTTGCTGTTCTTTTGAAGGACCTGGGATTGATTCCCAGTACCCACATGACAGCTTGCAACTACCTGTAACTCCAGTTTTGGGCAATCTACCACTCTTCTGGCTTCCATGGGCACTGTACACATATAGCACACAGACATACACACATGCAAACATCCATATATAAACAAATTTCTTAAAACAATTTTTGGTAAATACTAGTTTTAAAGGAACCTTATAGGCAGGCATAATGGCAATCACTGTAGTCACAGCATTTAAGCAGCACATGCAAAGGACAGTCACAAATCTGAGGCCAGCCTGCTCTATACAGCCAGTTCTATATCAGGTAGGGTTACAAAATAAGACCCTTTTTCAAAAACCAATTGGGGTCCTCCATAATTTTTTAGATTTTTCGATAATCCTGGGACCAAAAAGTTTGATAACTGTTGTACTATGTTGGTTATATGTTTTAAACATAATCCCAATTCTTAAAAAAAATCCTTTTTAAACTGAGTAGTTTGGAATATGAATTAGAAGGGTCCAGCAATTGATCTACCTACAATCAATAAGCTCGGTAAAAGTCTCCTTCCAATCTAACTGTAAAAAGGGTCTAGATGCACAATGCGCCCTTCTGTCAAGTACAACTACATTCTCCCTCTAATAACTTTTTTTAAAAAGGTAAGTGCAATTTTAATGTAGGGATTACTTCACTTTTATTTCTAAAGCTACAAAACATCTTATCTGTGATAGCTTCAAGACTTTATACCAGTCTGCCCATGTTCTCCTCAACTCTCCAAGAAATTGTATTCTAATTTCTTCTCTTCCCTTCTTTACAACTGGAATTTGTTGAACTGCACAAAATAGGTGCACCCAGTGGCAGCCATTCAAAAGTCTTGGATCATAGAGCCTCTAAATTAAGGCTTGGCATTTCAATGGCAATCAGCCTGTGTTTCTCTCTCTGTATCCTTCTCTCATCAGTCTCCATTTTTTTTTTGAGCTGTATCACATCTATCTTGTTATTATCGTTCCCCCTTCTCAAAGTTCAGATCCTGTTTCTTATACACAGTAGCCACAAGGCTGGTGGCTGCAAGCTCCAGCCCAGGCCTTTCTCTAGAACAGAAATTGAGACCATGCAGAACTATCTGGAACTATCCAGAGAGTTCTGAAAGTCGAGTGTTGGGCAACATACCTTCAGTATGCTAGTGAGTCAACCTCTCCAACAAGCTCCCTGGTGATGTGGTACTGCTGGTTTAAGCATGCCCACTTTTGAGAACCCCTGCTCTAAAGTTTTCTTTTCTTTCTTTGTTTTTGTTTTTGTTTCTCTGTGTAGCTTTGGAGCCTGTCCTGGCAGGCACTCACTATGTAGACCAGGCTGGCCTCAAACTCAGAGATCCGCCTCTGCCTCCCCAAGTGCTGGGATTAAAGGCATGTGCCACCAAGACCCTGCTGCTCTGATGTTTTCAATAGGACACAAGGGTCTACAATCGCCTGGCTCTACTCAGTCCCTCTCTACTGTCAACAGTGGCAAGAGTTGACCATTTGAAAACACAGTATCTTTAAGAGTAAAATGGAGACTGTGACAGTAAACATATTCCCAAGTGACGTAAAGAAAAGGACAGGAAGATGTGCTTCATAATCTGAGTAAATAAACACCCTTTACCAGATCCTCCATAGCATTAAAAATTGATTCTCAACAGAAACTTCCCTTCAACAATGGAGTCCCATTTCTACTTATTTTCCTCAGAGATTAAAAACTGGAAGCCAGTAGCACACATATATAATCTCAGCGCTTAGGAGGCTGCAGGACAACCTAGGCTTTTCAGGAGTTCAAAGCTAGCCTCGGTCTACACAACAAATTATGTTCTCAATTTTTTTTTCATTTTAAATATAGGAGGTAGAGATTTTGATCTGAAAAGGACTCAAAAAAACAAAAACTGTCCCTTTCATGTGACATGTGTAACTCTCAACAGAACAGAGAAAAAGGAGCCATACAGTCCCATGTTGCCATGTTACTTGAGAGGAAATGCCCACCATCAGTCAAGAAGCATTCAAGCACTTCAGCTCACTTACCTTGGTCATGCCTCCTGCCTGTGCCGTGTTCAGTCCAGCATGGCTAGCCATTTGTGGGGAAACCTGTGTCAAGGTCTCAGCCAGCACACTGCTTGTAGCTCCCTGCATAGCTGGAGCAGGGTAGGGCATTCCAGCTCCCCTTCCTCTTCCAGCAGCCCCAAGAGATCCATTCATGACTTGAGCCTGCCCTTGTTGAGCCTGATTCATTAAGCTATGGCCAGAGTTACTATTGAGAAGGCCTGGGTGGGCCTGGTTGAAGTTAGCATTCATGCAGATCCCAGGTCCAGTCTGTGATGTGGCAGGACTACTGGTCACCAGCCCCACTTGCTTTTGTGCTTGTGGATTCAATGCTTGGGAGGCTGGGGGGGTGGGCCCAGAGGTGCTGGCTGCCTGTTTGGGCAGGCTAGGGGTTGATGAGTCTCCCTGGTTCAGAGGGCTCTTGCCCATGGCACCCAGGCTGGCCATGTTTGTACTGTTCGGCTGCCCTTGAGCCTGCTGGCCACCAAGGCCCTGTTGCACAGGACTGCTAGCACTCACATTTCCTATCCCTGGGTTGATGCTAGAGCCACTGCCTCCTCTAAGAAGTTCCGACAGTTGTTTATGTTTGGATGCAGCATCTGGAACAAGGCTCCCACTGTTTAAAAGGCTTAATTCTCCATTAGGGATCAGCTCATCAGGAAGATCATTTTCCAAGTCAAACAATGATCCAAAATCTAGAAATTAAGCAGAAATGGAAATGAGAATCGAAGAAAACATAACAGCTCTCCAACTGTCATGTTGCTATAATCTTAATCTAATGGAGCATTTCACATAGACTGTTGGTACATCTTAAGAGTAATATGAAGACAATATGAAACATTTGGGGAGATTAAAAAAAGGGAAAAATTTTAAATGCAGAAAAAGGGAACATTAAACAATAATGAAAAAGGGCCAGTTCTTTAAAAAAAAAACATATCCTAAAACAGTAATTAAACAGTATATTAAGAAAAATTCAAATATATAAACTAAAGAATAATGAATCTTTTAAAATTCACTAATTTTAAATGCTAAAATGCCTTTAATCCCAACATTCGGGAGGCAGAGGCAGGCGGATCTCTGTGAGTTTGAGACCACCCTGGTCTACAGAGCGAGTTCCAGGACAGCCTCCAAAACAATACAGAGAAACCCTGTGTGTGTGGGGGGGGGAGGGGGTGCTATTAAGAATGCAAGTATGAAGTCGGGTGTGGTAGTATATACATGTAATCCCAGCACTTGGCAAAGGAAGATGAGAGAATCAGAAATTCAAAACCAATCTTGGTCATTATAAATATATAAAGTTCAAGGTCATCTTAAGCTACATATGAATTCTCATATCAAAAAATAAAAGTAAGCTGAAGCCAAGCCGTACTTGCACAAGCCTTTAATCCCAGCAGAGGCAGGGAGATCTATGAGTTCAAGGTCAGCCTGGTCTACAAAGTTAGGTATACAAAGGACAGCCAAAACGCCAGGCTATGAGTTTGAGGCCAGTCTGGTCTACAAGAGCTAGTTCCAGGACAGCCTCCAAAGCTACAGAGAAACCCTGTCTCGAAAAACCAAAACAAAACAAAAAACAGAAATTATAATGTGGTTTAAATACAGTCAACTTAAAGATTCTTGCATTTCATGAGAAGGATTATCACACAGGAAAATGGGGAGCACAGTGACTCCTGGTATAAATGGGCAAGGCATACAAGCAGGCAACCATCCCCAAAGAAGATAAAACCAGTAAACAGATCAGTCTTCTTGGTCAGCAAACAAACTAAAATACAAGCAATTTCCTTTACTGGCTCCTTTCAAAGTAACCCTCCTCTGCAGCGTAATTAATTTTACATGTAGCAACCTCTAGTCCTTCACTCTACAGCCTCCAGTATGCTCTTCAGTTAGCAGTTTGTCTATGCATATGCAAAGAATGAAGCATGCAAACTATGTACAACACAGTGTTATTTGTAACAGGAAGGAAAAAAGAAACCAAAAACAACACCCAAAAGCAATTCAACCTAATGAGATTCAACTGATGCGACTCCCAGCACCAGAATCCCAACTCCACACTACTCTGCACAACTTTGGGTATCTTACTCAGTCTGTCTGTACTTCATACTCTCTTTATCTGGAAGACAACAATAAAGATCCCCACAGTAGTAGGAGGTGTTCTGGGTCCTAGAATGAATTAATGAATGGAAATCACTGAGGTTTGTGGGTAATACGAACTTAACAAGAACTAGCTATTACAAAAGGTGACAGCGGCACACACCTTTAATCCCAGCACTTGGGAGGCAGATCTCTTAGTTCCAACAGCTATGGCTACACAGAAAAACCTTGTCTCAAAAATAATTAACTATTACAAACCTTAATCAATAGTCATACATTACAAAAATTTCAAGTAATTTTGATTACTATGGAAATGTAAGAATATATGTATATTATGGAAAAACATGAAAACGGAAAAAGGTATACAAATGGCTTAAGATCAGAACACTGGCTGGAATGTAAATGGTAGGTTTTGCTGGCAATGTTGAGTTTGGGAGGTTTTCTTTCTTTAAAAAGTACCACCTGCCATCTGTTTAGAAATTTAAGAACTTTTCTTCCAGGGTAGCAGACCATATTTTCTACCTGCCAAATCCTCCCCTACCACCACCACCTTTTACTGTAGACAAACCCATGTAGCTCTGAGGTAGCTGCCTGGGAGTGTCCTTTGAGGAAGGGTAGAATCTTTCCTGGACAAAGGAGGGAGACTGGTCAGATAAGCCAAGCATCATGGCCACATTCTAGTGCAGGAGACATACCCCACCGAAGGGAAGCTGAACATCTTGTTAGTCAAGATAATCCCTTAAAGGTATTTCTTCCTATTAGCAAGAGTTGCTCAGAAAGAAGTCTCCCTTTTCATCACTACATTTCTCCATGAGCCTATAGAAATCAACTTGCAACCAGGAAAAGTCATCACCATCCATCCACACTGGATGGGCACAGGGAAAAGAAAAAAAAAAAAAAGAGGGGAAGGAATAGCAATTTTTTGTTTGTTTGTTTTGTTTTTCAAGACAGGAACTTGCTCTGTAGACCAGGTTGGCCTCAAACTCAAACTCACAAGAGCAGTCAATGCTCTTAACCTCTGAGCCATCTCTCCAGCCCAAGAAATAGTATTTTTAACAACTGAATTGGTAAAGTCTGAATTGCTAAATTAATTATCCAGTCCTGGAACCTTCCTACCTTCAAGAGTCTTGTTTTATGAGAAAATACAGTTTATAAAGTTAAAACCATTTACCTTGAATTTTAATTCAGCTGTTTTAGCTGACACCTCTGGGTGCACACTATTTTCTAGCTATTAACACAAGTTAGAGCTTCCATCTGTGGTGATACATTATTTTATCAGTAGTCTTTCTGTATTGTCTCTTGGCTTGAAACCACACTCTAGCTCTGCTCAGATACTCAACAGAACTTCTCAGACTTCCTTTAAGCTGTCTGTCCCTGCAGAACTGCCAAGTCCCTCTTTGACCCCTAACAGCCTCTGAACTTACTAGCCTAGCAAGCCAATTCTAACACATGGTTGTATCATCCCACGTGACTATACCAAATGAGGTACTACATGCAGAATAAACACACACAGGCACATGGGTTTTGCAGCACTCAAGATTAACCTGTAAACAGAAAAATTCCCTTCCCCTAAGGACTTTAGTGTGTATTGCCTAAGAATATCCTTTTATACATGATTACTGCACACTTGTCAAATTCCAGAAGTATAACACTAGGTTACATTAATATACTGACCCTATTCAATTCCATGGTTGTCCCAATAATGTTCCTTTTCCTTATGAAAAACCCCATTTAGAATCTCAGTACATTTACTCCTGTCCCTGTCATCTTGGTTAACCTACAAAGGGTCCTTAGTCACTGGTTTCCATAAGTGACTTTTGTTTCTCAAGACACGGTTTCTCTGTGAAACAGTCCTGGATGTCCTGGATCTCACACTCTGTAAGATCCACCTGTCTCTGCCTCCCCATTACTGAAATTAAAGGCGTGCAACTCAGCTGCCACCGCTGCTGCAGCCTCCACCAGCACGAGTGATATTTCTAAAGAATTAAGGCTGATTTTTTTCTTTTTTTGGTAGAAGGTCCTTCATATGGGGTACCTAATAGAGTCACTGGATTGTCAATTTGAAGAAAGGAATATGATCCTTGAAAAGTAGACAGACAACTAAGAGGATTTCCTTGTTTCCTATTGGGTGCATCCATACCTCTTAGCTACAAAATTATCTGAAACTAGGAGATTCACTAAGATTTCCATATGCAAATCATACAAAATACAGTTAAGTGTTGGGAAAGTAGTCTGGTAAAGAATGCTTTATATACCACGTATGCAATCCTGAGTTTAATCTCCACAACAGCAGTGCCCAAGGGGACCAGAGGAGAGCTGGAGTAATGGGCAGTTGTAAGGCACTTGAAACGGTGTTTGGAGCACATTACTCTGTAAGAGCAATACCCATTCTTAACTGAGCTCTCTCCAGCCAACTGTTTTTGCAGAGGAGGGTCCATCCTATGGGATGCCTCTTAGAGTCACTGGATTGTCAATTAGAGGGACTCTGATCCTGGAGGGGCAGACAACCCATAAGCTTCTCTGGTCTAGTCAGCACTTCTTAAATCTCCTGTTTTCAGAGTAGCTCTCCTCAATCCTTGAGGGAGGAAAGGGAATTTCATCCAACCCACTAAGTATGACAAAATCTAGTGTCCTTCTTATCTGGTGTGGTGGGGCAAGGAGACCATGTCACACACTGGATCAGCAAACACTCTTCCCTGAAGGGGAGAGCAGAACAAAGAATGGGGGGTGGGTATTTAGGTAAATTCCTAGGGTCATATCAGGGCCCCTATTTGAGAGAAAACAATGGAAAAGTTGAACTCGGGAATTCAGATTCCCCACTTAACACCTGGCCATATATCCTTGGGGAAAACTATTTTTCTTCATCCTAAACCCCTCACCTGAAAAGCAGAGATCACATGCTAGAGTTATATGAATGATAATAATTGGAGGATATCCTGTACCACAGAAAGGGGTTAATTTATACTATCCTGAAGACAATCAGGTGTGGTGACACACAGCTTTAATACAGCACACTCAGAAGTAGAGGCAGATGGACCGCTGTGAGTTCCAGAACAGCCAGGGATACACAGTAAGGCCCTGTCTAAAACATAAAGACAAATTCACTCTAACCATTTCTTACCTTTACTATTTGCCCACCACTCTCACTCTACCACCCAACAATCAGACCAGTTTTCATTTACATAGCACTCTACTTCTTATCAAACACACAAACACTTTTATAATTGTCAACAGGGTCTTTTCCCTGATAATTACTTTGGTTTCAATTTTTACTAGCTTGTTACCTTTTGTCTTTCTAAAGGATCACTTTCATCATTTATCCAAACACATTTAACCGATGCTTGGGTGCAGCTAGAGTTGACCAATTGCTACATCCTCATCTACAAGTCGAAATACAAGAACCAGTACAACCAAATATCCTAGATGTGGCTGGTTTTTGTTGTTTTAACACAGTTTCTCACTGTGCACTTCAGCCTAATCTTAACTCACAGAGATCTGCCTGACTCAGCCTCCCATATGCTAGAACTAAAGGCAGGAGACACCATACCAGGCTCAGGGTGTGACTCTTTTAAAAGACAGATGGTCTGCAGACAAACCACCACCCACA